GGTCGACTACCCATGAAACTACCATGCAAGATTTTCACAGTCAAAATCTTGCAAAAATCGAGTACGAAAATTTATATATTTCAATCTTGTCGCTGTATTTCACTACTAGGTTTAGCTAGAAAGCTGAAACTTTCAGGTATACAAGATCTTGATTAGATATATATGTTATAAAAATTTCAGCACTCTATGTCAAGAAAAGGTATGAAAAATATCATTAACAATCTATCGTCAGTTATTATGAAACACCCTTTATGGAGAATTATCTTCAGTAGAAAATGATCTACAACATTATCTTCTAGTCGGAAAAATATGAAATAAGCATTAAAAATTTCTAGAAATAGTTTCTAGATTTCTTCTTTTTTTCAGTATAGAAAAGATCTTCATGAATATAGAAAGCAAGAAAGAAGACTGTAGTAGCTACTGACTCCCACCACTTCCTACTGATCGAAATAATGACTTTGATCCATTTGATAATATTTAATATACAGCGAAATTTTGTAAAAATGGAATATATAAAACAGTACGTCACCAACAAACTGTATTAATATATAGAGCAATATTTATATATATTTGAATAAATAATACCTTATGTTATTTATTTTCAACTTGTTTTAATAACAAAGCAAATATATAAGACTTCTTTTTGTTATTGTTAAATGAAAATGTAAATTCTTATCGTCGGTAGTTTTAGTGAATTTTACATCGAATATCAAAAAAAAAGAAACAAATAAGTTACTTTGTAATATCAATACAATGCGTTTAACATTTCGTCATTTAGTACAATCAAAATTTATTTTTGAACATATTTTACTTGTAAATCGCTAGATAATGGAGGACATTGAAAACCTCTATTAGCAATCATTAGTTTTTATCTTATTTAATTGTTCTTTTGTTATAGTGTATTAACTGCCGGATGATGGAAGATTAATAACCTGATTAAAAAAATTTACTGTGGTCGCAATGTAATCCATACATTAGATCGACTTCTATTACAAAAATAAAATCGCTCATATGACATGTACATGTTTGTAATGAATTACTAATATATTGTCATCTTTGAAAAAATCGAATTTGTTGTTTACTTTCAATAGAATTCCTATTAATTATACGATTACTTGTATTGATATATGATATCATCATGTAAGTAAACATGCTGTTGAATTGTTCAGATCATCAAGAAGCTGCTCACTATCTAGCATCTAATTTTTTCCATATGATGAAACTCCACGTCAATTAACTATTAAATTACCTTGTGTTATTTTTAATGCTTCAAGCAAATCTATGGTACAATAAATATATTTTAGTGATAAGTTTTATTGTAAAATATGTTCTTGTATTTACTGCTTTTTTTTATGCATCGTTTTTTCTCATTTATTTCATCAATATTCTTCAGAATCCCATACTTAACACCATATAATTTTGTTAATGAAACTAAAAAACATCGATTTTCTTTTTGTGAAAATCTTCGACATTGTCTGATGAAAATTATATGTATTGGTTATGCTATGATCCATCCTTTAAAGATAATCTTCATTATTAATGCAGAAATATAATAATAATCATTTAAACTTTAGATTAATTTTTTTTAGAAAAAAAATTATATTGATTTGATGAAAATAATTTTTTTACTAGATTCCAATTAGTTTTAAAAACATCATGGTATTCAATAATACGAAATTAAGTACCTGGAAGTAAATTAATTTACTGCTTTGTTTTTTTTCTAATTCGACTAATTGTGTTTCACTATATCAAGGAGATTTTGCAGCTTTATAATATCATTTTATTTTGCTATTTGAAAAAAATCTGTGTATATGTATTTATTTAATATTTTTACCTCTTTTTTTTCTGTCGCA